AGACAAAGAGCAGAGCCTCACAAAGTGAAAGTGCAGCCAATTCATAACACTTTAGGATTGAACTGTCTTGAGGGTTTTCAGGGTTGCTTGGCAAGGTCTTTTTGAATTAAATTTTATTTTATTATAGAGATGTGGGGTGCAAGTGAGGATTAACTACATAAGTAGGCTGCATGCAAGTGAAATTTGGGCTTCCAGTTGGCCCTTACTCCCCCGGGGACCAGCTGCTCTTTGTGTTGTCACATGCTTCCCAGCCTCTTCCCTCCCTCCCCTAGCAGTGCTGAGCAATTACCAATCCCTCCCTTGTACTCGTATGACTGTGATCAGGGCCCACGTAAGAGTGAGAACATGCAGTATTCAGTCCTTTGTTTCTGTGAGAGATCGTTTAGTGTGATGGTCTCCAACTCCATTCAATTTGATTTTGTCCTTCTTTATGACTGTGTAATATTCCATCATGTGTATGCACCACATTTTCTTTATCTAGTCCACTTTAGGTGGACAGTAGGGTTGGTTCCCTGTTTTTGTTATTATGAATAGTGCTGTAATAAACGCATGTGCAGGTGTCTTTGTGGTGGAGCAATTTATGTTCCTCTGGGTATATTCCCAGAAGAGGGATTGCTGAACCATATGGAAGGTCAATTTTTAGTTCTTTTTGGAATAGCCATACTGCTTTCCACAGAGGTTGAACTAGCTTGCACTTCCACTAACAGTGTAGAAGCGTTTCCTTTTCTCTGCACCCATGCCAGCATCTGTTGTTTTTTGACTTATTAATGATAACCATTTTTGCCAGGGTTAAGTGGTATCTCATTGTAGTTTTGATTTGCATTTCTCTGTTGATTAGTGAGGCTGATCATTTTTTCATGTGTCTGTTGGCTGCGTGTATGCCATCTTTTGAGTAGTTTCTACTGACCCATAAAAAGGCAAGGAACAAACTAGAGGTGTGATGGGGGAGGGGTAGCTGGGCTGCTGGTTGTGGAGTGAAAGTCCTCATTCACATTCTCTGGCGACTTTGCACTTGAAGAGTTTATAAAGCCATAGACGCAAGGTAGACTATACGCTGTAAGTTATGTCCTGTGATGATTAAGTCAATACTGTTATACTTAATAGACTTGATAACATGTGGAAGTTTTTCAAAATCCTGACTTGTGCCCTGGTTGGTGCCATAGCTTCTGTGTATTCTGGTGAGGACGGAACTGTCGTAACTGTTCTTAGCATGATCAGTTTAGTTAAATTACAGACTGCTATGTGTAGGCAAGAAGCAGGTAGCAAAACCTAGGATATTTGAAAGAGTAATGGAGATGATTATAGGGTTCCAAAAATAGTACTAAATTAAAAAGAAGCATCCTCTTTGTGTCATGCATCAGGAAAAAACCATATCTGACCCTTACATTAAAACATATGGTGCTCTGATTCATCGCATCCAGCTTGCCTTTTTATTGTTTTATGGGTCCTGCCACTGTTTGAATAAGACTTCTGTTCCACACCTTATTTTAGTCAGCTGTGAGATCGTAATGTTGAATCAACTATTTCCACAGCAACAATGTTGTTATAAACACAGGCTGAGAACTTTGGTTTCACTGAGGAAAATATGTTGCAATGGTGAAGTTTCTTTCATGTGGATATAGGTTTTATTCAGAGCGAATGGAAATAAATTTTGTTTCAAGTTGTCCTTTTGCTGATATTCACTATCTCAATAGTTATTGATTTTCTCCTTGTTTACAGCAATTCTATGATAAAATGCTATCTCGGTAAGTTGCTTTTGGAGGCCTAATGTTAACTTCTTTGACTTCCTTATTTTTTGTTTTTATTTATATATTTTTTGAGTTAGCCTGTTGCCAAGGCTGGAGTACAGTGGCTTGCTCACAGCTCCCTGCAGCCTCAAACGCCTTGGCTCAATCAATCCTTCTGCGTAAGCTCGCCAAGTAGATGGGAATACAGGTACAAGACACTGCACTCGGCTAACTTTTTTATTTTTTGCAGAGACAAGGTATTGCTACATTGCCCAGGCCCGCCTTGGGCTCAAGCAATCCTCCTGCCTTGACCTCCCAAAGTGCTGTGATTACAGGTATAAGCCACCATGCCTAGCCTAGTTTTTCTTTTGTTGATGAAATTAGGACTAAAATACCACTCCTTTAGCTGTTTAAATTCCCTGTATGGAAGAATAGTGAATACTTCATAAGAAAAAAAAAAAAAAGACCAAATGTTGATGGTGTTTTTTTAATATTCCAAGATTTTATTGTCTAGATACTGCCTTTTGGTATTGCTATTTGTAACCTTTTTATGAAACTTACCTTATAAATTTCATATGGGAACACTTGAAGAGGTGCTAATATATTTGTGAAGATCTTGAATCATTTCAAAATGTCATTCCATATGTCCTGTGGATTGGCCTCTATTGGTAAGACAGAGCTACAGCAGACATCCCCCTACTGGCCTCTGGTCACTCACTGCTGTGTGAATAATTTAGGAGACTTTTGCCCCAAAGTAACAAAGTACCCAACTAATAGTGATTTAAGCAATAAGCATACTTATTATTTCACATAAGGAGAAGCAGGGTCCTCATTAGTTAGTCGTCACAAGGGACTCAGTTTCCTTCTCTTTCTTCTCTTCTTCTTGCTTGTTTCCTCATGATACCAAGATGGCTGTCATTGTTAGTCTAGCCATCTCATCCTCTCTTTTCCCACTGTCTCCAAGGCAGATTTCCTCTCAGGTGTCCCCTTTTACAAAGAAGGAATCCTTTGCCCAGAAGCCTCAGCACACAGCCCCTTATGTCCCATGCATGGCCTGGTTTGGATCACATGCCTATGGCCTGTGATCCTCAGCATGGTTAGCCAAGGAAGACAGAGGCAGGAGGACATGACGTTAGATAACTTGATGATGGCCCCAACATCAGGCATCTCTGGTATTAAAGATCTCTTTTCAACAACTTTCAATGAAAGGGAAGCCCTTGTATAAATGTTCTCTCTTTAGCTGTGCCCTGGTGTATGTACATGGTGCTTCAGCATTTTGCATATGTCTTGGACTGGAATAATGTTTTTCTCTGACATGGGCTGATGTGTAGTTTTACTGGCATGTGTATACTTCGGATTATATCACTGTTGTTTTTCCTGAGCCCTCTTTTTTTTCTCCAGAAAACTACAGCCATCCCTTCTAGTTTATTCCTATGTGGGAAGCAGGAATCCAAGTACAGAGGAAGAAGAAGTATGGATATTGAGGTAGTCAGGGTTTTTTCCTGCTTTTTTTTCATTTAAGACTTTGGGTTTCTTACAGCTGTTAACTCTGGTCCATTTCCCCTGTCTCTCTTTCTTCCTCTCTTTTATCCTCTTGTCTCCTCTCTTCTGATGTACCTACATGGTCTGGTCAGCAGTTGCTTTCGCTTGTGATCCCCACAGCCTCATGGGGGAAAATTGGGGAAATGAAAAAAAATAAAAAGAACCCATGATGTTCCTACTCCAATACAACCACTGTATCATTGCTATCTTTCTGTCCAGCCTTTCCTTCCATTGAGTATATTCTTGCATAGTGTGCTGCAGTTGTCTAAACTGTTTTGCCTGTAAGTGGTTTGAGACTGCCCACGTTTACATAATAGTCTCAGGAACAGCAAGCCTTGAGCATTTGCTCTAAGCAGGGCCCAGTGCCCAGCACAATGTATGTATTACCACTGAGGCTAAGTTCTCACAGCAGCACCATGGGTTGGGTATCAGCACCTGCACTGTCTCTCTCACAGATAAGGCCCAGCGGTGAAGTGATTTGCCCTGTGAGTCAGTGGTTCAGCTTTAGAATCTGAGTTCTTCACCTCCACGCTATCCTGTGGCAAAGGAAGCAGGAAAGAACCAGCCAAGAAGAGGCCACTGAAGAGGAAGAATGTGTGACCCCTCAATGGGGCTCTTTTCAAGAAGGGATGAGTGGTAGTCATAGAGGTAGTGTCAGAGCCATCTTGCAGGTGTAGTGATTAGTGTCACTAGTCCTCCTGCAAATGGTGGTTTCACTAGGGTTTTGACTATAAATGCCAGGTGTTGTGGGTTAAGGATGATAGAGATTACAGAGGGTAACATATCTAGACTCTTCCTAGAATATTGCTTAATACTGTGCTTCGGTTCTCATTAGGTATCCACTGTGGTGCCAGGTACTTTGTACATCTCAGTT